GGAAACACAGAAATCTGTCTCACTTTAAATTCATTTAAATAATAAGAGATGTAGGTTTAAAGAGCATATTCAGGAAAGTGTTTCACTGTATCATTTTTCTCTATTCACTGAAAACTTGAATTCTAGAATCAGTCTAGGGTTTCTATTTCCATTTCTTTTTGTCAACATCTGGAGAACCATTTCGTGCATCTACTTGTGATATGCAGTATCTACATTCGGTAATTCTCCTCTTCCATTTACATGTTTTTTCAAGCTGTGCTGTCACTTCATCCCTGAATCTTCATGAGTCATTGTTCAGTGCAGACTTACCTTCTGCTAGACTGTTCAGGCTTTCATGTGTCTATGGGAGAGTGAAGAAGTAAAAGGACCCCTTTCAGAATTTCTTTATTGCATGACAAGATTGCTGCATATCTGAAGAAATAATAGTTAAAGAAAGCCTTCCACCCCAATATTGATAATACTCCTGTATTATCAATAGACTGGTGCAGACCTTTCAACTTCAGTATTCTGAATGGTATTTTAAATCTGACAGAAGCCAAATTTCATTTAAGGTAACATTAAAAAGAGGTATTGGTAGTACCTAAAAAAACCCTTAAAACCTAAATCAAAGGTGATCTAGTCAAGATTAAAATGGACAGTACTGTGAGCATCTATTTTGATAAATACTGCTACTCAACTACTGATTTAAAGCAATAGTTCTAGGGCTGGTATCTGGTTCTTGATAGCTTAACAAATAGTATGGAAAGCAACAGGGTCTATAGGTGCAACAGAATACAGGGCAAAATATATTAACTGTCTCCAGGAGGTGTATAGCCAGATGCCTTCTTCTGCTGTGCACCATAAGCTGTGCTGGTACTCTGTTTTGATCTGGACCACGAAGGGATGAAATAGAAGAGCACAAGGTACAAAGCAAATGGTGAGCTTTCTCCTAAGACCACCAGAGTGCAGGACTGCGGGGATGTGTCTGTACTGAAACTAGAAGATTAGCTTGTCCAAACCATGAACCATTTGGTGAATGGATTTTGTGTGAGAAGATGGAGATTTAAAGGGCAGATTTAACCCCCCCCAAAAAAATCTAAAGGAAATGCTCATCTTGCTATCTTTTATCTCCCTTATTCTGTATCTGTTTCACTTTCATCCTTTCAGTAGCTCTCAAATCTCTATTGCAGTCAAGGAGAAAACTAAGTCCTCTGTTTTGACCAGGCACACAGGACTCAAATGGACCAGGCAAGCCTAGCCAATGTATGTACTGCCAAGTAATGGAAGGCAGAGGGTTTTTGTGGCAGCTGAAAATACTCTGAAGAATACTGGGATGGGAGCAAGCTATGGCTTTTGTGTTGGTAATCATGGGGAATAAAGCCTGAAATTCTTAATGTGTGCCCAACGTTGGGAGATGTGGGCCACAGTGGATGAGCTCTTTCTCTATCGTGTGCTGTTAAGAGCTGTGGAGAAGTGTGTTGCCAAGTTGTATTACAGAATTGGAAAAAAAGTCAAACTGAGTTTTGCTATTGAGACGAGAAAGGATAAAGTAAAAGCTTGCGTATGAGTGACTTCAGAACAACCTGCACTATCTTGTATGTTGTTAAAACTGCTGATAGGAATCCTTTTTCACTAGGCACTGCACATGAAATTGTGACATTTCTATTGCTTGTTGCTATTATCAGGCAAGCTGATTGATAACCACAGAAATGAATTTTCTTAATTCTCTGCACAACTAACAGTGATAGGGTTTTTTTCCCTTTAAAAAAAAGGGATGGGGTGCTTGATAGCATGTGTATACTAAAAAAGAGTCTATGGGGAACTCCACTGCTGAAAACATCTAGCTTCAAGTGCTAGATGGTGGTTCATATCTCTTGAATAACTGTGCTTAAGTGTAAGTGAGAAACAGTTCCTATTAAAACTAAATATTTGAACTGTAATGTTTATGTTAGTTTACTTCCTATGTCCAAGATCTGTAATTTGTATTGACAAGATAATGCTTTTGCTGACAAAGTCTAATCCTGCTGACTCTGGCCTCTTATATTCTTGCTGTGGATGCTCTAACAGTTAACTAGATTCTGTGGATGTTTAGCATCCCCATAGTCAGACACTAAGTCTGACAATGTTATTTATGAGAAGCAGAAAAGGATTGTTATTTATAAGCCTCAACCCATAATTAAGGGGTGCGCGTGGGGGGAGATTTCAACTGTCATTGAAACTATGTAATTTTAGTAATCTAAAGGATGAAGTACTTACCTGGCGCTTGCTATATACAATAAGCAGCGGGGGAGAATTCTTAGGACTTTGAGTTTCAGATAACATTATATAAAATTCTTAGCAATTCTACCTGGTAATACAATGAAATTATTTTTAATGGTACCTTAGTCTCTTGGAATGCACCAGTCAAACACACATGGGGAGGCGGGAAGCCTATCTGAGGTTAACAAATGTCCTTTAGGTCTGTGACCATTTTGCATGTGATTGCAAGTATTTGAGAAATCCTAGCTCTCTTCCACTACATTGAAACCTTGGTTTTTCAGTCATATTGAAGGGGGTTGGGTAAAGCAGAATAATATAAAGAAACTCTGTTCTGAAATAGCTAGGGAACTTTTTTCCTCTAATGTCCTCCCTTGTCTCATATGCTGAACTGTTAGTTTCAAGTAGCACAGTTCTGTGACGGATGTACTCATGGCCTACAAATCTTAGTGGGGACTAAAATAAGTCTGAGCTGTGCAATAATATGAAGAGATTGTAGTAATATCGGTAAAAGAATCTTGTTCTTGTAGAATATTAATGAAACCTGTTCCTGAAGACTTTACTTTTGAGAAAAGAGGCTTCAAGTTCACTTACATTTCTCAGCATCTTCTATGTGAAACTGGTGCACTTGGCAAAACTCCTGGGAACATTCTCCCTTGTGCTACAGTTTCTGTATGTGAGCAGAAGCTGATGGGTCCTATTCGGTGTGTTCCTAGTCACTTAGTGTTGATAAGCAAACTGATACTGTTCTGATATTTATAGGAACATGATTTGTTTGAAGTGTATAAAAAAAATGTAGTCATACTTTTTAGTTGTTGACATCTGAACTGAAGTAAACAGTATGTGCAATGCCTCTGAAGCAACCTGAACACTTGCATTGTAGTATGTTGAAAAAAAAAGGTGGAAACCCCCCAACTTCTTTCTTATCTTCTAGGAGGAAGAGTTGAGAAAAAGTGGAGAGGCAAAGTACTTCCACCTAAATGATGACCTGCATGTTTTAATTGAAGTATTTGCTCCACCAGCAGAAGCATATGCCAGGATGGGACATGCACTGGAAGAAATCAAGAAGTTCCTCATCCCTGTTAGTATTCTAATTTTTTTTCTGAAGAACTCTGATAGCCTTGATTTTCTCTAGAACTAACTTACTGTATGATCTTGTGAAAGAAGTGATGTTTACAAATACTTGCGTTCTGATATAGGCAGTTATTGGGTGAATGCGTAACTGTCCACATATACTCTCACCTCATGATATGACCTATAGTAGAAAAGCAACTTACTCTTGCTTAACAGGCCATGTGCAAAGTATTTGTTTAGATAACTGTAAAAATTTGTAAAATACAGAAAAATAACTTTGCTTAAGGTGGGGCTTTTTGTGTTCTTAGTACACCTGAAGCATCAGCAGAAGGTTCTGTTTCACTAAAAATAAATTTTGAAGTTGTAGTGTAGCTCCCTCCCATAATCCTGGTTCAGTGCTGAGAATCAATACAATTTTATCTTGTAACTTTATTTTTCTCACAAAGCTAGTGATACATAGGTTATACTTGTCTTCTGATGTATTCTTCAACTTGTCATATATGGATGTATAAAATGGGATATGACTTCCAGTATAAATTTGTACTCCAGGCTTGGGATATGTATAAACACTGATGTTGTGTGCTTTCCAATGTCTTTTTACAGAAGATTCTTTTGCTTCTCATGTAAGGGCCAACTTCAATTCTTTTGCAATATTAAACTGCTTGGAACAGTCCAAACTTTCTTAAGTTGAGGCATTTGAGGTGGTCTTATTGTGTGTGAAGTTGCTAACTGTATTAGCTCTTCAGTGAATGTTCTTCTATTTTTATTTGTTATGAAATGACTGAATATAGAAAGCAAAGCATCCTCAGGGTGCATTGATTTCTGTTTATTCTTACTGCTGAAAATTATACCCAAGTGTTGTTCTTGATTAGTGTCAGATCTTGGAAATGTGGGGGACCTATCTAAGGAAGCTTCACTAAGTTGTGTATCTGAGTGACAGCAGCACATCAGTGTTTGAGTCAGTGTAGCTGTGTTCAGGACCAGTTGGGGATGCCTGTTGTATGGCCCCTGCAGCCTGTTGGAAGCAGAACTGCCAGCTGTACTCTAGGGTGAAGGAGCTGGTGCTGTTGACCTGACAACACTACTGTATGCATTTTGGGGATTTTAGTTTGTGCTAACTCTAGTCTAGATCCATGAAACTAGGTACCCAAATGACTGGAGTTGACTGTGTGCTCCTGGAGTGTTTCTTCTGACTTGTTTTTTTCTGAATGAAAACTAGTTTGTATGCCCCAATACCACTCCATGACATGAACCAAAGCATCATAAAGGTGGATGTACCTTAAGACAGTTAACCCCCGAAAAATGTCCTGAGTGTTATGTTCTATTATAAAGAAGCAAGCACCATTTCGTAACTCGAGTTCCAAATGGCTTTTGTCTTGATACATGTGAAGAGGTAAATAAGCCTACTGCTGTTTAAACATCCTAAGCGTTTAGGTAGGGGATACTCAACAGAATATTTGTAGGAATACTGGGCTGTTATAACATCAAAGTTTACTGTATTTACATGATTCAGGATTTGACTGTGTGAAGAGAGAAGGAAGAATTAAGTTCTTGGCTATTCTGGTGAACAAACAACTGTTTTCTTTTTAGATGAAAATATGCTCAATTTGGTGCTTTTTGAGTTTACTGGCAGTAAGGATGAGAGCCCCTGCCCCCTTTATCGGAGATCTTATTTTTCTTCATTGAGCTCGATTCACCTAATGTCATAATATATGAAGTAAGCTTATCAAAACCTAGTCATTACTCTACTGCTCTTAAGCCAGTAGAATTGCAAACTGATAACAAGAAATTCCAGTCATTCGTTGTACACTTCCCATGTCAATTTTTGATCATTGCATCTTATGGTACTGAGTTGAACTGATGCTACATAATCCTTTCTGAACTATGGGATCAAGCCAACACTGTCTCGATTTTCCTTTGGCTTTTCAAATATAATTTTATCAGAATGGTTCTAAATGCCTTAATCTTTTTTGCCCCCCCCTTGCAGCAGCCACTCCAGGAAGCAATAAGGAGGCAGCTTTGCTCTCTGCAAAACTACCATTTGGTTAACCACTGCCAAATGCAACTTCTTTGTTTTCTGAGGTCTGTGGCTTTCCTAACAAATTATCAGTTTAATTTCAAGTAAGAAGTCATGCTATCAGTGTATATGATTATGATCTTGTCTGCTCCTTACAATATAAGCTATATAACCTTCCAGCAACTTTAGATGCTGTTCCTGATTTATGAATATGGTAATTGTTCTGTTTTCAGATTGGGCCTGGGTATACAATCACAATTGGTGCTAGAATGAGGGATACAAAATACCCTTGTAGTAGCTGACTATAGCAAAAATGCCTTAGCCTCTCTTCTTGGTTCTCTTTAGATCCACGAACAAGCGCCTTGCATGAAGTTCAGCCTCAAGCAGCTGCAGTGGTGCACTTTCCTTCAAACTAGTGATATAACTCAAACCAAGACAGAGAACCTTCTGACTAGAGGGGTTTTTTGGCTGTGCTTGTTATCTGTGCTTACCATGTTGCCTTGAATCTCACCTGTCTTCTGCAGGTAGAATTGTGGCTCTGACTTCAGTTACATTCTTTTGTCCTCCTTTAAATTAGCCGGACTCTCTGGTCACCAAGTCTGTTCTACTGTTAGATTGGTGGGTGTTGTGCTTGATATTTGTCCCAGAATTGCTTCTGTCAGTTACAACAAAAAGCCAGGTACTTCAAGCCTCACCTTCTCCTGTGGTGATGAAATAGTATTTAATGGCATTTGGAAGAGCTGGTGGGCTTTAGAAACTCACACACTTTTCTTTAAGCAAGCTGGCAAATAACTGTAAGGTGTGTGTATAAAGGTGGCTGGAAACCTGGTAACTGTTGCTCACTGTCAGGATAAAGATCACAGAATCATAGAATACCAGGTTGGAAGGGACCTCAAGGATCGTCTGGTCAACCTTTCTAGGCAAGAGCACAGTCTAGACAAGATGGCCCAGCACCCTGTCCAGCTGAGTCTTAGAAGTGTCCAATGTGGCAGTCAACCACTCCCTTGGGGAGATTATTCCAATGGTTGACTGTTCTCATTGTGAAAAATTTCCCTCACATCCAATTGGAATCTCCAAGAACAACTTGTGTCCATTGCCCCTTGTTGTCTCCATGTGACTCCTTGTAAAAAGGGAGCCTCCATCTTCCTTGTAGCTGCCCCTTAGGTACTGATATGTGGTGATGAGATCCCCTCTAAGCCTCTTTCTCTACGCTGAACAAACCCAGTCCTCTCAGCCTGTCCTCATATGGCAGGCTTCCTAGCCCTTTGATCATTTTGGTGGCCCTTCACTGGACCCCCTCCAGCCTGTCCACTCTCTTTTGTATAGTGGGGACCAGAACTGTACACAGTATTCTAGATGTGGCCTGACAAGTGCTGAGTAGAGTGGGATGATGACTTCTCTCTGCTGGTGATGCCCTTTTTGATACAACCCAGCATCCTATTGGCTGCCTTGGCCACAGCAGCACACTGTTCACTCATACTGAACTTCCTGTACACCAGGACCCCCAGCTCCCTTTCCACAGTGTTGCCCTCCAGCTGGGATCCCAGTCTGTGCTGCACTCCTGGATTGGGTTTTCCCAGGTACAAAACCTTACACTTGATGCGCTTGGATGTTTTGCAAAACTGCATAGGGTTTTGCAGTAATCTGTCCTAACATTAAATAAAAAAAGCTTTTACTAATAGTTTGAATGATAAATCGGAATAAGTCTTAAGTTACATGTTATCCCAAGGAAAGCTGCTGCCAGTGTGTTAATCAGGGCTGGGTGAATATTGCAGGTAACATCTAAAAGAATGTTGCTTAGTTGGGCCATGGAAGTAATCTTGTGTAGGGAGAAAACCTCTTGCATGCATCTTGATGCAGTCATTCCTACAGAAGAAAACATTTAGGATGATAAAGGGACTGGAGCACCTCCCCTATGAGGAAAGGCTGAGAGAGTTGGGCTTGTTCAGCCTGAAGAAGAGAAGACTGAGAGGGGATCTCATCAACGCATACAAATATCTTAAGGGCGGAAGTCAAGAGGACGGAAGCAGTCTGTTTGCAGTGGTGTCCAGTGACAGGACTAGGGGCAATGGATGCAAACTGAAATGTAAGAAGTTTCAGTTGAATATGAGGAAGAACTTCTTCACTCTGAGGGTGGCAGAGCACTGGAACAGGCTGCCCAGGGAGGTTGTGGAGTCTCCTTCTCTGGAGATATTCAAAGCCCGCCTGGATGAAGTCCTGTGTGGCGTGCTCTAGGTGAGCCTGCTTTAGCAGGGGGGTTGGACTAGATGATCTCCTGAGGTCCCTTCCAACCCTTACGATTCTGTGATTCTGTGATCCTCCATCTTCAGAGAAGACGGTAGTCAAATCAGGATGGGCAATATTCATAAAATGAGTACATCTGTTCACTTGGAATTAATCAACAGCATTTGACTGAAATTTGAGTGTTGCCTCTGCCTAAACTGTATAGCGGAGGAGTGCAGTCTAAAGGGTTTCCATGTCTGTCTTGTGTTCTAGGTGAGGAAGAGATTGTTGTCTCCTCAATTTGATGTGAAGTGTGCTGTTTTCCAGCAGTGGGTATTCATAAATTGACGATCTGTTACTTTTAATTGAAGAATCTATTTCAGAGTCTAATGGATTAACAGCGCTGCTTATCGTGGCTTCCTTGTACTGCCCCTTCACTCTGCATCCCCCTGCTGCCTCTGGCGTATGTGATAAGGACCGTATTTTCTGTTCTGTGCCTTTGTGCAGTGAAGCCTTGTCTGTGGCTAAGGCTGCTGGTATGTCTAGTAGTATGCTTCAGGAAAATGAGAAATCGTTAGGGATAAAAAGAGCCCAACACGTACAGTAGCAACCTAAGCACGTCTCTAAGAAATTAAGTGATACTAATATCAAATGAGGATCAAAGGTATTTTTCTGGGAGCCCAGTTCTGAGGAGGTTGTCTTGTGGAAAAGTTGTAAAGGGCATCTCATATGCTATGTCAGATCTTTGAGACCTAATTATTTTTTGGCACAGTTTTAACAATCCGTTAGCATTTTGTTTCAAGACTGAAATTCTATTCCATACATACCTTGCATAGAATTTTGCATCTGTAGCCAGTTCTGGCCCAGCAACAAAGTACAAATAAAGTGAGTTTCTGTACAATAGTTGGCCAGAATAGTATTCAATTGCCTGTTTCTGTTCCATTCCCTGTGATGGTTTGGCTGAGTAGTGGGTCCAAGCTGTTTTATAATGAAATCTGTTTCTCAAGAGCTTCAATTACACAGTTTGAAACAGTTGATTTGGTCTTCCAGACTCACCTTGTTTGCTGGTTGATTTCTGCTGCTAAGTAGAAGATGATGTCAATGGGCAGTTGTGAGGTGAATTCCAGGGCCTATTCAAGATGGTTGGGACAAAATGCCTTTATAGTGCCACTTTTCTTAAACACCGTCTATCTTCAGAAAAGGCATGGAAAGGAAAACTTTTCTTATTTCTGTTTGTGGAAGCCTAGGGGAAGCAGAATGTTTCAAAGATAACTGAGATCTTTGAATCATAGAAGTTTCAGCCTCCTTCCAATGCAGAACTATGAGTTGCCTGATGCAAGGCTACCTGTCAGTCTTTTGGTACCTGCCTAGTGCATAAATGTAATAAACTCAGATTTCCAGTAAGATGCAGATCCTCTGGTTTGTAATTGAATTGTAAAATGGGTGGTATTTGAACAAATCTTCCTCCTTTGAAATGGGAGGGCTTGCAGAAGATGAGAGCTGTTATATCAGAAGTATCATGTCATTCTTATTAACATTTTGACACTTAGTTTGTATGTATACATGTTGAGTAACATACTTATTTTTTCTGATTTCACCTTTACAGATGCATTCTTTGACTCACTTTAAGTGGAGGAAAAATGATAGAAAAATATGTAAAGCTCAGAAGTTGATTGCTGCATCTATTTTATTCCTGTGTGATGTGCTAGTTTTGGAGGTTGGCTCAAGGTCCCTGAAAAAACTCTTGTGTATTTTAGAAGTACCATATTAATTCATCTAAATAACTTTAGGTTTCTTTTCGATAGACCTTGAGAGAATTTCTGCACGAAAGAAACAAGCCATGTGTCTTCAGCTTGTTTGCATATTGTTATTGCAGAATTGAAAATCTTTGAGCTCTTTTTATTAGCTAATAGTGCACATGTGTATTGAATGAATTTCCTTGTTTATTCTTTTAACTCCTGATTTTAAAACTGTAGCTTTCTATAATCTATTCCTTCTTCCTGAGGGGCTGTTCTCAGTGTATTTCTTCTTTACTGCTTTGCAACACCAGACAATGGGATTTTTCCTGCTTTTAACACACTATCATTCTACAGCTGGAACTACAAACCAGCTCAGAATATGGACCTTGATTTTTTTTTATTGTTTTATTGTTGTTTTCTTCTATCTACAGCATTTTAACATTGGCATTTTAAGTGGTAATGCTACATGGCAGTAATACACAATGGGAAAGAAAACCATTCCTGAGCAAAAATTGTCATTAATACGTAGAACTCTTTTAGAATTTTTGACTGGATAATATGCCTATGAGATTATTCTGCATATTAAACTTTTCCAGTGGGATGTTCAACTTTTTAAGAGGAAACTTTCATGATCAGTGTTTGCTGATACTGACTTGGTGGTTGAACAGTTTGTGTTTTCCTTGCTCTGTCCCCCTGTTTTAGGATTACAACGATGAAATCAGACAGGCACAGCTTCAAGAATTAACATATTTAAATGGTGGTTCAGAAAATGCAGAAGTTCCAGTAGTTCGTGGAAAGCCATCTATTCGAGCAAGAGGAGTACCAGTTCCTGCTTTGACCAGGTAAGTATCTCTGCTTCAGTGGAATTTCATTGGAATGTACATATCTTAAGCTTCTCTCTTCAAACACAACCCACCCAGAGTACAACAGTAAAATTTATTAAGGACTCCCAAAATATGAACAAAAGAGAAGGGAAACAATCTTGATTCACTGAAGGTGTCAAATTAGTTTAGGCTGAATTAACAATGGTGCTGAAATTTGTCTTAAACTTGAATGATGCCTAGGTTAAGAAACAATGCACATAATACAAGATGTTCAGTCTTGCTGTGTGAGCACCTGCTTGACTGCTAACTTTCATTTGCTCCTTAGGTGCATGTAGGGTCTGTATATGACCTTACAGAGCTCATGGCTTTGAAAAACTAGTAAATCAGTCTTTCCTTGATTGACATATGGATTTCAGAGCTATTTCTCTAATTTATGGAATATACAAATTCTCTTTTACAGTGTCACAGAGTTTTTGTTGTCATGATAAAATGTTAAAGTGCTTTGGAGGTGGAATTTGGATTTAGTTTCATCTGAATGGCACTTCATAAAAAAGTGGCTTTTGTTTAAGTCGCGAATAGGCAAGTCTGCTTCTTTTGCTTTATTTTTCTTCGACACAGGAGATGTTTTATTTTTTACTCTAGCATCCCCTATCTTCCTTGCAGTACTGAGGTGACAGCTTCAACTCCTTTGAGTCCTAAACTGTGAAAACAAACTAAATAAAGTGCATTAACCATTCCTGGTACAGCACAGAGATTGTGGCTGCAGCAACTAAGTGTACCTGTTTTCTACGGTGAACTATTTCCCTTCAGTTGTGGTTATGGTGCTTATTAATGAAAGCTTGAAACTTACATTTCAGCTTTAAACAATAATTTCAAAATAATATTCTGAAGTGTTTTAACTCAGATTAAGCATGTTGGAAGAAAAAGCACTGAGGAATTATTCTGTTTATACAGATCTGTTTACATGTATCCTGCAATAACGATTGCAAATGCAATGCAGAATGAATCTTAATTTAGAGAATTTTGGTTTTGTCCTGTAAAAATGTAATTATTTTTTCTAAATCAACAAACTTTTGTTCTTATGCTGTCTATTCTGCTTCTTGATTTTAATGTTGTTCAGAGTAGTGGTAATTATATACCAAGGTTCACTTCTTTAGCACTGTAATCAGCCATATGAAAGTGCTTGCAAGTTGGAGATCTCATTTGATTTTGGAGATTGGTTTTTTGCTAATTCTTTCCCGTAGATGCCTGTAACAACTCTGCTACAGAGGCTTAGTACAGTGAGTACTGTACTCAGTTCTATTTCATGTTTTCATATGTCCTTAAGCTAGTGTTTGTGATACAGAAGTTTGGTCTGATCTTACCATCAAAGTTTGATACTTACTTTCCACTACCAGTATATAGCACATGCATGCATAATTAACTCTTCACAGTCCTGAATTTCTAACATCACTAGTTCCATCCTCTGGATTTTAGTAAATTATTTTTTCAACGCTGCATTTTATACAAGACTTAAATACCGTTAGGTAGCTCACAAAGCCCTTCATCCTATTGGCCTACAATTACTGAAGTGTCTTGAGGGTAAATGTTAGCATTTGATTTGGATAAGATGGCTAAAAATTGTATTTGTCATCTCCCTTTTTGTGTTCTAAAGAAAACTGGAAGGTTGTTGGCTTGTTTGACTTGTCCTTACCTTAAAGCTTATCTTAAACTCCAAGACTTTCCCTTCAAATTGAAGTGCTCTGTTAGCATAACATTCCTTGAGTGAAACTTAATGTCATTGCTACTGAGATGCTACAGCCATTGAGTTAAAGATCTCAAACTCAGTTGCAATACTCTGACTCTTTTTGTAGCACAAATTGATTTCAGTGAGTAATACTTTTGTTGAAGGAAGGCTTTGTTAAAGGCTTTGTCTTAGTGTTCATAGAATCATAGAATGTTTAGGGTTGGAAGGGACCACTAGTGGTCATCTAGTCCAACCCCCCTACAGTGAGCAGGGACACTGCTAACTAGATCAGGTTGCTCAGAGCCCCATCCAACCTGGCCTTGAATGTTTCCAGGGATGGGGCCTCCACTACCTCTCTGGGCAACCTGTTCCAGTGTTTCACCACCCTCATTGTAAAGAATTTCTTCCTTATATAGATGTTAAATAAAACAGTTTTAATAGCAGGCATCCCTGAGATCCAGGAGAGGTTGAAGCAAAGCTTGAGAAGACTTGTAAAATGAAGTCTAAAACCTCAATCCTAACCTCTCTTTATGGTCTGTAGAACATTTTTGAGATATTGACCTTGAAACATGAAACATCCTGTGAGGATGCAATAATTGACTGTTTAAGTTCTTAAGTTTTTTTAAGCCTGAATAGTTTTACTGAATAGCCTTTATTCCTGAATAGTTTCACTTAAAGTACTAATTTATGCCTTTTTTTACTCCTTATCAGACATGTTGAGACTGGAGATAATGCATCTTATCAAGTGCCTTCTTTTAAGAAGACTTGTTATGTGTATGTTTAGCTCCATACCAAAATTTTACTATGTAGAAAACAATAGATTTGTTGTGCTTGCATACAAAATCCTAGCTTGTGTACAGGTATTCCTGTATATGGTAAGTAATTTCTTAATGGTTGTGGCTTAGTAACTTTTTGTTCTGCTATTTCTGGCTTATTTCAGATTTTCTTGACTGAATTTTTTGATTCTAGAGCCAAGTAAGATTTTGGGGTGAGTGGATGGAATTTGCTGTAAAAGTGTTTGTGTGTGTTTTGAGCTTTCCCTTTAGGAATACGCTTTGATCATCATTGATCTTGGGCATATAGCTGCTTTCTTCTGCCCTCTTGCCCCTATTTTTTTTCCTTCATCCTAATACTGTTAATGACCTTCAGATGTAATTACAACACTTCTTTTTTTTTTTGTGACGTTTATGCTGAGCACTTAACCTCTTTAGGTAGTATCTACTTCTGTGCAACAAGAGAAGGGACATGAGCATCTTTTCCTGGTGAAAGTCTGGATTTCATTCCTTTGTTTTTCTTGTAAACTGATACTAATAAATGTTTTTTGGAGGCGACTACATAAAATGAAGGATCATACCAGTTACTTTTTAATTTGTACTAGCAAGTTTAGCGAATCACTGATGTTTAATGTGATGCTGCTATAGTGTGTAGCTAGATGTACCTCTTTTGGGATCAGTGTTTTTTTTAATGCATTTGAATTCCCACACTGAATTGGTGCAATATAAATGATAATACTGAAATGTGAACTGAGACTTCTGACTAAACACTGCAAATAAACATGTGTTAACATGTGTTAGTGTACACCTCTAAGGACATTTTGCAAATAAAGTAGTATTTCTTCTCTCTAAAAGTCACATTTCTATTTTACAAATAAATAAAAACAGGATTTAAGGATCATTCAATTCTGACACAAATTAAGATATATTGCAAAAAGTGAAATTCTAGAGGACGATAATAGTAAGCCTAAAAATACGGGTAAATCTACCTTGGTGTGTTTGGGGGAACCAATTTATGTCACTTAGCTATATATCATTGTGAGAATCATAGAATGGTTTGGGTTGGAAGGGATTTTTATTGATCATCTAGTCTACTACCACCACCACCCCCCACCATGGGAAGGGACATATTCTTCTGGATTAGGTTGGTCAAAGCCTCATCCAACCTGGCCCTGAACAATTCCAGGGAGGGGACATCCACAGCTTCTCTGGGCAACCTGTTCCAGTATCCCACCACCTCCAGGGAATTTCTTCCTTATGTCCAATCTAAATCTACTGTCTTTCAGTTTAAAACATTTGCCCCTTGTTCTGTCACTAGAGGCCCTGGTGAAAAGTCTCTCTCAATCTTTCTTAGAAGCAGCCCCCCTTAAGTATTTAAAGGCCACAGTAAGGGGGAGCTGGTTGGGTTCGCTGTCCAGATTGAGAGGAACTGTATTTGAAAGAAGGTATTTTGGTTTCACTAAGATGAGGGGAGGAGAAAGTAATTTCTTCAAAAACCAACATGTAGGATTAGTCTAAAGAAATAGCAAAATTCTGGTTTATGCTTGCATGAAATTGTGGGTTTACTTCGCTGTTTATTGTTTTCTTTTTCATATTTCAGTGTATGCATGGCTGGGATCCTAGTGGTTGAATGACTGTCACTCTGGAGATAAAACTGTTACAGAAGTTGTAGGTTAGAATTTGCTGTCTAATGTCAGAAGTAATGTGAGGTGATGTGGATCACTGCTGTAATGTGTTCACAACTTCTACTGTTAGTCACCAGATCAAACTTAAGTTATTCCTGTCATATATCTGGAATCAACTGGTTTCTTTTTTTGAAGTATAATTTTTTGTGGAGAACATGTAGGTAGTGTACTGCAAAACATTCTGTAGCACAAAAAATATTTGGTAAAGGCAGTCCAGGATCCTTGACAAAGGCAAGTATTGTTCAGGGTGTTCCGTTTGTTTATCCTTGTGATAAATCTCCCATTTTTCACAAAATTGAAACATGAACATACATATTACTGTTTCCAAATGAAAATTTGAAATAAAACTTGCATAAGTGTTAATGGTAATGGTGACTCTCATTTAAAAAAAAGGCAGGAATCCTAGCTCTGTCTGATGGTATCCAGATATCAAAGTTCAGTATTTTGGTGCTGACACTTTAAAATATCTGAAAATTAACAGACCTGTTGTCTAAGATAAAACCTGAATAAAAACATTCACTGTTTGAGGAACATTGACTGTAGGTGGCTGTGCTCAAAGGAAGATAATGTATATATCAACATTTTGTAATAAAATTTGTTACATCAATTTATTGAACAGTTTAAATCCCTGCAGATGTATGGAACTGAGAATGCTAAAAGTAAAGAATTCCATGTTTCCTCACTGAATAATAGTGTGGGAACTGATCCTAAATTTCACAAGTATTTTTTATTTTAAGCTATTCTTATTTACTTCCCCTTATGGAGGTGAGATACTGAAAAGATTCATATCACAAACTCATCTAATTTTTGTTCTTTCACTCAAAGTGAAGGAAA